GCCTCCCAAAGGCGTGGGATTACAGGCTGAGCCACCGAGCCCGGCTGAAAGGAAGATATTTTGATGACACTCAGGACATCAAGGGTAATACAATGTCAGCTCTGATGGCCATTCCGGAAAAAGAGTTCCAAAATTGCTTTGATGGGTGGACTAGGGTGCTGGCATTGGTGCATAGATTCCTAAGGTGAGTACTTCAAAGTAGTGATATTTAGCAACGAGGTATGTAGCACTAGTTCTAGGATGTTTGTGCACTTAATTGTCATATCGTGTAGCTTCCAAAGTAAACCCTTTTCCTCCCCAGTCCTCCAAACCAACAGATCCAGATGGTTTGCAGGAGAATCCTCTAGAACACTTAAGCTACAGAAAATTTATCTAGTGAATAGACACTCATTCCTTAATTTTTTGTGTGTGTGTGTTTGAGTCTCACTCTGTCGCCCAAACTGGAGTGCAGTGACTGCTCCCGGCCACTGAAGTCTCGACCTGCTGGGCTCCAGCGATCCTTCTGCCTCAGCTTTCCAAGTAGCCACGCCCGGCTAATTTTTTTGATTTATTGTAGAGATGAGGTCTCGCCAAGTTGCCCCGGTGGGGTTTGAACCCGTGGGCTCAGGCAATCCACTCACCTCAGCCTCTCAAAGCGCGGGATTACAGGCTGAGTCACCGAGTCCGGCTTTTTTGTTTATTCTTAAAATTTTATTTTATTTTTCCATCTGATTCAGTTTTATTCAGTGACAACAAATTCTGGAGATGTGAATGTTGTATAATTTTGGTATTGTCTCTCATAAAAAGAAAAACTCATTCTCTTTTTCTTTTTCGAGTTGGAGTCTCACTCTGTCACCCAGACTGGAGTGCAGTGGCCACTCCCGGCCACCGCAGCCTCGACCTGCTGGGCTCTGGCGATCCTTCCGCCTCAGCCTTCTAAGTAGCTGCAACTACAGGCGTGCGCTACCACGCCCAGCTAATTTTTTGATATATTGCAGAGATGAGGTCTCGCCAAGTTGCCCAAGCGGGTCTCGAACCCGTGGGCTCAGGCAATCCACTCACCTCAGCCTCCCAAAGCGTGGGATTACAGACTGAGCCACCGAGCCCAGCCATTCTATTTTTCTGATTATACATTCGATATTCATGTGTTCTAGAAAACACAGAAACTCAGAAGACGATTAAGAAGCAATAAATCATTAATATTCACATCCTATTACCTGGAACACTGTGGTCAATGGTTTGGTATATTTCCTTAAAAATTTCCTTAATAATTTTGTTTTAAAAAATAAAATTAAGACTATACCAGCATACATATACGTGTACAGTATACACATATTTCTCTGTATCCTCACCTAGTCTTTGTTCATATGATAATGTAGTATTCAGTTAAGTTAATAAAGCATATGCCATTTATTGAATCTATCACTTTGAGTTTTTGGAGGAAAACCAAAGATCAGATATGACTGTGATGCTCATGCTGATACAAGTTCTAACCCCAGAGCCAGCTCACGCACACGCAGAGGTGAAACCCAAGTGAGCTTCTAAGCCCAGTGGTTATTCTGGTTAGGAAGCGAACATGGCAAAACCAGCCACATAACTGGTCCCATTGGAAGGAAGGGAACAGCGATCTGGCTAACAGAAAGTGAGTGGGGTCTGGAAAGAGTCTGCAATAGAGACCACATAGCCCTGAAGTTTTAGGTAATTGGCCACCCTCCGCTGCCGCCCTAGCGTCTTCCCTGTGAAGTGTGAACAGTGCCGGCGCCAGCCTCATCTAGGTTGCAGCTCCTCCGGACCCCAAAGCCTTTGCACAGGCTGTTTTTTCTGCCGAAGTTGGCTCTGCCCTCCTCTCCCCCTGGCTGCCCATGATGTGAGGCTTCAGGCTTCGGTGCCCTTCGCTGCTCTGTCCACCAGGCCAGATAGGTGACCCGGGGGCTTCTTCACAGCTTTATTATTACAGAGTGGCCTCCCAAAGGCGGGCAAGGCCAAGAGGGGCTCTGACCACAGGCTCGGGTCCAGGTCTTCCTTGACCATCGTGTTTAAAACAGGGCCCCTTCCCTTCTTCTCCATCTAAATCCTCTAGTCATGCCCTTCCCGACATTCACGATCACAACTTGTCACTATTTTGCCTACTAGCGGTTGCTTAGAGTCCTGTCTTCTTCTCACATTAGGACCCGCCTCCGTCTGGGCGGGCGCTGTACACCCCCAGGCCTGGAACAAATTCGTGAAGTGGCTGAGGAGAAACCGTTGTGGACACACTAGCAAGGAACACGCGGGGAAGAGCGGGCCTGGGATTGGGCAGACCCCGGGCGCAGGGAGGAGGTGGGGCGCGCGGCCTGG